CAAATCCATTTATATATATGTAGATATATATATTTATATTTATATATATTTGGTTATATGAATATAAATATAAATGTGAATTTATATATATATATATATATATTTACTACATAAATGTCAAGCCTCCGTACTAATGAATTCGTCCACACATCTCATGATTTACGAACGCCCAGACGTTCACCTTCCGGTATCCAACCATGGCTTGTGAATTAATTCCGATGTGGTTAAGCGCATTCTGAGCCGTGTATTCACAGGTAGTTAACATATTCACTCATTGTGTCTAGAAATATACAATTGAGTCTTTTCTTTCTGTATGTTCTTTGTCTTCATCTTAGACGCGATGTGAGTAACGACGAAGGCCCAGAAGGGCACGCTCCCACGCATAGTGTGGGTATGTGGGGCTACGAGGTGCTTTTGAAAACTAACGGCATTCTACAGATTGGTTGGGCTGCGGATGTATGTGAATTTGAGGCTGATAAAGGAGGTATGATATTGTTGTGTGCGACTTGCATACGTACATGCGCCCTTGTTTGAGATTTTAACTTCATCTTTGGCTTTGATCGGTATATATGCATTTTGATGCTTGTGTGCCAATCACAATAAGCGTTTATCCTTCACGTGTGTAATTTTAAATGTGTGACGAGCTTTCACGCCCTTCCTACATCGTGACTTCGGATACTTCTACTTTTCGACTGCGAACACTGGTTGGGGTCGTGCCAATCTCACCGCCTGGCTCTCACGTAAACTAGGGCCCAAGTCTATCCTGGCCTTTCTCATCCAATCCACTCCACTTCAATCCGTTCTATCGTTCCTGCCTGCTTTCCCGCTGTCTTCCTTGGCGCTTCCTATTGTGTTCAGTGGGTGTGGGTGACACCAGACACTCATATGCATTCGATGGTTCTAGGCAGCGTGCGTGGCATGGTAACTTGAAAGATGTGCCGCAACCACATGTATGTCGTTCTCGATGCTTTATAGTTCTTTTTTGGTATATTCCCGATGATCTTAGCGAGGTGGATGCGTAAGTTGGAATTAGTGGATATGTGTACTACCAGGTATATCAACGGATAAACTGCACTCTGTGATTGTAGCAGTTATGTCCCTGTGATATCGTGTAGAGTTTATAACTATTTAATGGATGTCTTCGCCACGGTTGGTTCGGTTTCAGTGGCTTGTGGATATTTTTTGTGCATGTCAGAAGCCATAAATACTTTAATGGTATACTAATTTATATTTCGCTGTGAAGAATGTGGCGTACATGTATATTTCATTGTTTACTAAGCTGTATATCGCTGTCAAGTTTGTGATGTATAAGTATACCCCTACGAATACGAAGCGTTATGTCAAATTAGGATTACAGTGTATTTGTGTATATCCCATTAAATTTCATCAATATGGCAATCATGAGGTTTGTATGTATGTCGCCTTGTTTAATGTGTTAAATGTCGTTGTCAAGCATATGTTCCTGTCAAGAGAATACGCCGGTGCCGAGTATAATTCCATGTCGTGCATTTGGGGTTCTGTCTTCCTTAGAAAATTATCAATGGCAACTCTGTACCATTATGATTTCCAGCTGGTTCTGAGATCTAAGGATTTTGTGTCATGTTATTTAGGTTTCAGAAATTAGTCTATGTGGAATACATGTTACATCTGTTCGTCTTAGTAGGCTATCGGTGTACAGATCTTCATCACAACTATATGCCAGCTTCATTCATCTACATGCGGGTATCATGCTTCACCGGTGTCGCATTTCTAACCGTCTCGTTCATTGCAACTTCTATCAATGTAGATCGCTTCCATGTAATATTTTTTTAAATAAGTGAAATTTGCACGACTCGGTTGGCAGTTTTCAGACACTAATTGGCAACAGAATGCTAGTGAGCGCAACTAAAACGTCCACGATATTCCAGTCCGTGGTTATACATATTCTTCGAAACATGCCTCTGAAATGTGTGTGGTCTTTGTTTTTTAACACCATCCTGTTGGTACAATCATACACATTTGTTTTATTGGTGCATTGTACATTTGCATACACGCGTATGAGCGATAGTGGACTAATCTATTTGTGTATCACGTGGATATTGTCAGGAGCCATATGGGTTGGAATGGCGAGAAGGTGATGTGGTGACTGTGCTAATGGACATCGAAGAGGCCACCATTTCATATCTGCTCAATGGAGAAGACATGGTACGCACGTGGAACGCACGCGTAACGCGGGAAGTGTTCGTTTGATTGTTATAGTGTGATGTCGTGTTTGTGTGTACATACTGTTATTGTGCAAATATCTAAAAGAACACGATTGTTTTTTTATGTGTATATGCCACCCCAGGTGTACGTGAGAGTAGATAATTTTTCAATCGTACTTCGTATGTGGACTTTGCTGCGGTATAATTTTCACATTGCAGCTTATCGTAACTATCCTGTACCACAAAGGTGTTGTGAATGCTTGATGTATAGACGATTAAACACGGTTCTGTGCATGTACGGTCCATGCACACGGCGTGTATGTATAATAAGTTTGTTATATCCCTAGTGTTGTACGTGTAGTCGACTATACCTATATGCACAGGATGCGCATCTAAGTTCGGTCACATGTTGGGTTGTGCCCATATTAATTATGCTTGTGGACAGGTGGTTTGTCACTCAGCCACACTCGAAGAAATTTATCTACCTTCCTATTTCTTTCACAACAAAAGAATCTCCAAGGTCTCAAACTATCTGCAATATGCGTAAGGACCAGGTGTTAACTAGGTCTAATATATTGGAAAGTGAAAATTTCAAGCAACCATTCAGCCTCTCACAAGCAACACTGAACGATTCTATCTGGCTTAAATATGTCACCTTCGCATCAAACACTTTCATATGCCCTCATTTTTAATACGATGTGCTATATTTATATCAGATTTGCTACGCTGTACCCTTCTATGTGCTACAACCCCTTACGGCATTCGAAAATCGTACACCGACAGTTCCTCTGGGACTTTGCACGCACAACCTCGTATCTAGCGCCCAATTGCATTGCCTCAACTTGAAATTCATAGACAATGAATTTGTTCGTATAACATACCGTCTTTTATTCCGGCGTCAATTATTCTCATATTATAAATCTTGATTACTGTGATACTGTGTGGTTCTCGTTGTTCACTTGCAGTTGAAGATTGTACCAGCAATCAATAGTAATCTATATACCATATATGTCCATCCGGTCTGGGCTACATCGTCCCTCCGCACGAAATTATTTTTATGTAAAGGTCTATATTCCAAGACCAAAATTTCAAATAACGGGGTTGTCAATGCTGAGCTCCCGCAATGGCAACACTATTCTTGTACTTGCTAATCATATACCTGAAAATCCGCATATCTCTCAACCGGTATAAATTGAAGAGCTGAACTGTGTTTGCATCGCACTAGGGTGTCGCATTCAGGAGTGTCAACACTGAGATGAGATGGTATCCAGCAATCTCCTTAGCAACAGGTCAACAATGTGTGGCGAATTTCGGTACTGCGCCATTCAGATACAAGCTGCCACCTGGCTACAAGAGCGTCTCGCAGATACAGGTATGAGTAGCTATAAATTCCCGTAGAAGATTTTTTCTTTTCTTCGGATTCATAGTTCCGTATATAGTAACCAACGGACGAGTGTATATGCCTAAACGTGGATTACATGAAAATACCTTCACATGTTGCCTTTGCTTCTTCCATGAAGCAATATAGCGTGTTCAATGCTTTGGTACTTACGTATTGTAAAGTCCATACTTATGCATACATCTTAATTGGTGCGTACATTTTAGCACGGTGGACATGTGTGTGTTTGAAAATATACGCAGGTGTGGTTATACTTCTCGTGTGTGTATATGCGTGTTCGTGCGTACGTAATAACAAGGTTTGTATGTAGTGCGTATCGTCATATAATATGTGCTCACTTGAAATTTTTAAATCCCGTTTGAATTGTGTATATGATGGCCTGTACAATGTATTCGGTAGCCACTACATATATTTGACCAATCTTTATACATGGATTATGTCATAGTGAACTTTTCAGCTTTGCTCTGATATAATGACACTCAAACCTTTCGAAAAGCATTAGCCGCGCGAGATTATTCACATATTATACATGTTCTGTACTATATTACATATATTTGCCTATTTGCTGATTGCCTCTCGATGAGTCGTTTATCCGATTATATTCCAAATATTACTCCTTTTTGGGGGGGGGGAGTTCTCATTTCAATTCGTTTATTCAAATTTAAATCTTTCTATTTGCGACCTACTGTCATTCACTCAGACTCGGCAGCGTGCCGTAGAAATGGCCAAGGATTCTGCTACAGTGCCTCCAAAGTATGTCAGCATCACTCCTGCAAGTGTATACGAACAAGAAATAGTGCAAGTTGGTTATCGGTAAGAAGGGCTTTGGTTTCTGCAGCGCTTTCTGCTGAGAAAATATTGAACTACCCGATTTGTGAAGAGATTATATTAGCGTATCACACGTCACCCCTAGGGATGCGACTTTCTATTGTCTAGTAGCTAGTCGTGATACATCTACGTTTTGGGATTTTTGATGAAGGTAGATCTTGCATTTGTTTATCTGGCCTTACATCCTTATCCATACTGAATCTATCAAAGTGCGTTCAGGTGCATGTACGGTATATATCCTGCAAATTAACGTGTTTATCCACATATATCTGATTATAATCGAGTTTCAAGAAGTAGAACTTCTTGACACAAGAAAATAGATCGGAGGTGCCCACTCAAACATACAAAAACATATAGGTATTATATATCCAGATTCTAATTATTCATCGAAATATTTCTCTTCAATTTCATTTATACCATGACTGTTTTATCACAGTAAACGACTGACATCTCTGCGAGAAGAGCAGAAACGAGTTGCACCAGTACAACCCCTGTTCTACTTCGAGGCCACGGTGGCTGCAGAGAGACCTAGGTATTTAAGATCTTCTTTCGAATTATGAGATATGTGAACTGCCCTGGGCGGGGGGGGCGGTTCTTCTGTTTGAGACGTAAATTTAAAGATGCACCCTAACTGCAACCTGATATATGACTATTTGAATTTATTTATGTACTCCCTAAAAGTATACTTTTATCTACAAGAGACTTCCATATTAAATTTTTGTCTAAAATGTGCTAGTCTGCAAAGGTCCACTATCTTGCTGGGATTATTAAGGAGTGCAACGGTGTGCATTCTGATCTGATAATGCTTTGTCGCAGTTCAACATTCCGGACGAAACGTATACAACGACTGTGCTATAACCATAGAAAAATCAGAACCAAATTGATATTTTATTCAATCATACAGTGCATTTAAAATAGGTACCCGCTCACTACTTTTCACACATAAAGTCTATATCAATTATGTCTCTCAGTACCAAGTGTACTTCATTGCAATTGATCTCCCAAATTGGTATATGAGACTTCGCAGCCTTTCATCGCTTTGCAGTTTTTCATCACTACACACTGTACTATACATGTCAATCACCACGCACTCTCACCACCGCCCCCTGTTTATGTGTCATACCTTTGTATAGCCAAATTCTGTATTGCCCATATCAATACAAAATTGTAGTCTGTCTGTATCCACATCTTCTCTCATTTCACAACTTCACTTCACAGCCCGCTCGCCGTAGGACTGCACGCCTCAGACGGGTACACCTATCTAGTGAAGTTTCTGGGGGCAGGGCAGCTGATGTTTGTAAAGCAGTCGTACGTAATCCAGGGAGCCCACCAACAGGTCATCCGGTCACACATATTCCCTGATCTGGCGTATGCCCCTTGCAAGTATGGTGTTTTGAATACCTATTTGTGAGTCGCTTGTGCATTCGTGACTTATATATTTCTAGTGTACGATACTGAATATCTTGTAAGCATGTGCAGCGTGTCATTTTACACTCTACAAGACATACAGAGTTTCGTACTATTGTCTTTGCATTATGTGCACATACCGCAAGGGTGGTGTGCTTCTCTTTTGCCTCTTGGATGTAGAAAATGAAACTTCATTTGCGTATATCAGGTTGTTTAGTATTGCAAAGGCAAGTTTGCTGTGTATGTCAATTGTCCAAATTTCACTGGTCTGTGTGTTTTTCGAGTGGCTAGTTTAATTTTGGGTGTCTATACCATCTGCAAGCAAGTGTGGTGCGTGTGCATATTCGCCATGCACGCCGTGTCCTTTAGTCTATTTGTTCCCGTTGCCTTGTAAATTGTCAGTATGCCCCATGTAAGTATTTGTTCGGATATTGTGTACGTTCTCCCGTGTGCTCTTTCACAGTCCGCTGCATCGCATCCGCTCCGTCCAAGTTCGCTTGGCTGATATGTAAAAGTCCTATGATGTAGCAGCTATTTCATCATCTTGCCAAAAATTGGGTGCGTTTGTTTTTTTTCTCTTGATACTTTAAGCAGTGATTGTTGTGGAGACTAGAACGCAAGACACAAGTTTACAACACTCAAAGAAGTGCTGACCCTAATGATGATTCTATCGCCTGCCTTCCGGAGAACACTGTTCTTTGTTTCTCAAAGTGATTCATTTCGAATTATAATCCCGCTTCGATAGGCATCAGTGGTGACTTTTACTCGCTCTCAACTCACCTGTCGGCTGCTCTACATTATATAGATACACGCCCGCTATGGCGATAGGATGTGGCGTTTCCAGAGAAGATCGTTCTATGTTCTTCACACTGGACGGTGTTTTCGTAGGTAGGTGCTAATACGTCCGCTTAACGGCTAAAGATTGCTATCGTGCGTGTGTAGTTTATGATGGATCGTGCTTGCTATGGGCCAATGCATATGTAATTAGGCTTATCGTTATGCGTGTACAATGTATGGAGTACGTTGCTGGGGATAGAAGTAGTGGCTTAAAACCAATTGTGGACTTGCTGATATACAATTAGCCATTCTGGATGCCAATTAATATCATTGTCGATGCTTATACGGGATGTCTTCTTGTTTTTTCAAAGTCAGGATGACTGCATATAACATATCGCATACTAAGCCAAGCCAACCGCTAGTCAGTTGTGTCGAGAGAGAAAAAAGCAGTCATAAGATACCATTGACTATAGACGTGAACACTGACAAGAATTAGTGTGTTTTGATCCCGAAAGCGGTGGACACATTGATGCATACTAATTTATCTATCGAAAATAAAGTATTTTCTTAGAACGACATAACACATCTGGTCTCGTTTCAGGCTCACCATTTCCACCGGTCAAGGACGTAGCCTCAATATCTTTTCCGTACGTGAGTGGAGAACGTCTGTGCGTCAATTTCGGTCAAAAGCGCTTCTCCTATCCCGTGGCTGACAGGTATAATATTTTTGCAACTCTGCATCTTAATGTTATTTATAAGCTATGTACTAGTTGCAATCGAGATTTGATATAGATAGGAGTATATTTGTGCATGCAAGTATGTGAACCATTTGAACGCTTTTTAGCTCATGTGAATTGATGCATATATGCATTCAAGTATCTATTTCAAATAAATGATTTGTTGTAGGTATATATCAAGGATATACATACATTGTTGTATCTGAACTCAGATCTTATGTCTGTACGCATTCTTGCAATATACGTAGACGTTTAGATTGTGTTCAACATTCATCCAGATGTTGTGCAACTAGTCATGAAAATTCTTTACAATCAATGTGATCGGTTTTTGTGAACCAAGCTGGTTCGTGTATTTAAACAGTGTCAACTTTTCATAAAGAGCAAGTCGAACGTCTTTGACCCAGTTGTATGGCGCGTGGTAATAATCAATGCATACAATCTACTATTTTACATCCAATAGAGAGGTCGTTCGGAAGCGCATGGCTTCCATTCTGAGCGATCAGTCGCTGAACTACATCACGACCATCTTTGTGGAGGAAGTGGGCGAACAAGATCCGGTCGGACTATTTGATCTGTTGCGCGGCACAGATGCTTGACATAATTGTAAAAGATATGATTTATTGAAAAAATAGACATATGGAAGGCCAGGTTTGGGACATGATTATATTTTTGAACAGTATTATTTTATTCAAAACATAGTCGAGGCGATGTTGGACAGCGTAAAAACAAAATAGTGTCTGCGATGCTCTCTGAACTCTTCCCAGTTCCTTTGTCCTAAAAATGACTGTACTTGCACATCGATATGAATAAACTTACAATTCGACATAGAGATAGAGTACATAAACACATATACACATACATACATACACACGTACATACATACAAACATACATACATGTAAATATATATATAAATATATATATTTTGGACCTGATAAGTTGTTAGCGTGGGATATGGGGGACTAATAGTAAAGTGCTATTGTATCTAAAGTATGGTGCATTCGAATGAATCTATTTATGATCTCACCCTCAGTTATATACTGATGGTGTTTGTACTAGTGTTCAACCACTTGGGTTGGCTAGGGTTAAATCTCATATGATCAGTATGAGAAACCATATGCAGAACACTTTAGCACTTAAAAATATTTTCTAGAAATAAATATATCATATTCTCTGTTACTACACTCAGTCTCGGACCTCGGCTCTCGGCTAGGCGGTGGCCCGTATCCTATAAATAAAACAATCTGAGTATAAGTCTCAAATTACTCTTACGTTCTCTCGGGCTGACCCACCTATACTTGTATTAATTTGAGAACAAGTCCCAAATTACTCTCGGGCTGACGACGTAAAACGTATTTAACGTGATAGGAATGCGTCTTCGACTGTAGTCCCAATATATATATATATATATATATATATAGTTGCGGCGGCAGTAAAACGTGAGGATGAGCTTGTCTCCTGTATGGTACAGTGTAAAAGCCGGGCCTCCACATTAGAATCTTGTAATATAAACGTACTCTTAAAAGACGTAAACTTAGTTTTCTTAAATGGTTTTTAACGGTTTTTATTTTAGAATTAAACACCGTTTCCATTTTACGTATCAGATATTTGGACAAGGCATTAAAAGGCCCCAGTAAAATACCAAATATAAGATTTGGACTAGTTCTATTAATAGAACTATATTTACCTTCCAAATCTATTTATATCTGAATACTTCAATAGCGAGATGGCTCAACCGAACATAGGTTTCTAAGGACTATAATCGTTGCTTAGTTTATCCTCCGTTCAGCCAACCAGATGTGCCAGTCTGATGAAGGCTAAGTCGGTAATTCTAGATAAGTGGCAAGTTATTGGTTAATGCAATAACTATGGACATCGTGAGTATTTTTCTTTTTTCTTTTCTTTTTTCTTCTTAAGATAGGATTTTATGAGTCTCTCGGATTCGCCCCAACGAAACATCCATAGTTTCTAATAGAGCGACAACGAAACACTAAATAAAATCCCTTCGGCGAAAATAGTACTGAGAGGATTATATAGGCAATGTCTCAGCCTCACAATCCCTCAGAGTATTGCTCTTTTCACGAGGTATACCTAACTTTACTAAAAGACTCATTTCGTTTATTTACTTTTAAGTCTTGATATACTTAGGCTTAGCGTCTATTTACTTTAAGGCGTTAATATCGCCTTAATAGACCGAAATTTACATATTTTAAAGTTAGCAGAGGTATTAATTACTTAGACTACTTAAACGTAAAGGTAGATGACTACCACGGATATTTTTAAGCGCAGTCATTACTGCAGTCATAAGTTAAGTATTATGACTAAGAAGAAAATACACCTTCAAAGAAACGTAAGGCAGAACGTAAAAGGATGAAGAAAGAAGCTGCTAGTGCCGCAGCAGCTACTGCTGCCGCTGCCGATGCGTTTAACCGCACCGTAGCCGAAGCACTTGTCTCTGGCAATAATAGTCCAGACAATGCTCCGGAGAAGGATGTAGTCACTCCGATTAAGGAAACTATTCTTGCAAAGAGGGCCCGAGGGCCAACGATTGCCTCAACTTCGGAGCTCGCATTTTCGAAGCCAATAAGTGAGACAAGGGACACGTCTCAAGACGCCCCAACCAATTCTTCTGATGAAACTCTGAAAGAAAAGTCCCCAATTGTATGGGATAAAGACGAATCTCAGAAGGTACCTACACCGGAACCAGACGAGGAGGCAAGCTCAAGTGGCAAACCCGAATCTACGTCCGAGACCACTGAGCCAACGCGCATACGGAAGTTAACGACTGAAAACACTGATCTTAAGAATCAGTTAGCCGCCCTTATGAAAGGCATGACTGTTGAAAGGAAAGCACGCACAGCACTTACGCGAGCATGTTTCTCCGGGCACTACTGAAGCCCTACAGAAGTTGACAGAACGTCGATAACGCCCGAAAAGCGTAAGGGCCTGAGCACCAAACCTGTGACAGTATACCCAGATGTGCTCAGCTATCTATACCTTACGAGGAACTACCACCGGAAGTCCAGGACCATTATTCGCCTGTACTTTCGCCCGGCCATGAGTCGCCTGTCCTTGAGGGTATTATAGACCCAGATGCAGGTAGAAACACTCCGCCACCTCTACCAAATTGGGGAAAACCTCGCCGTCGGGAACCAGTGAAAACTGGATATGTCGTCCATACGGCGATACCACCCGAAATTATAAGGCCAACACCTATCCCGGGAACCGAGCACCGAAAAGCCTCGACCATGGACTTTACACGGGGTAATAAAAACCCTCGTAAACGTGTTAACGAAGTCGAATTTAATCGCTTCGACCGCACCGCTTTACACCAACCCGAAGAGGATTTCAACTCTGATGAGGTGATTGAACTTAATAAATCGGTCGACGAGTACACACGTCAGATGGAAATCGCTCATAAAGAGCATCGCGACGCAGACGTATCGTATTATGCTAGTATAATAGCGATCAAGCAGAAGCGCATCGATCAACTACTTCAGGCCCGACGTGGACAAGACCTCCAGGATAACCAGAAATACAAGCGACAGATCAGTCGACTTAAGTCGAACTGGGATGCCAACAGTAAGCAAGTCGAGTTCATAAATAATCATGACCTCGCCACGTTAACCCATAAGCTAAATGCGTTTACGGTCATGCTGGAGACAAACGATAACGCTCCCCAGCAGTGGATCTCTGCATTAATGCAGTCATTCGACCCTGCAGGAACAAGTTACTTGATCCTGCAGCGCCACCAACACGAGCTAGACGCCGGTCGTGACTGGCCAGCTGTGTGTTGGTTAGTCACATCCTTATTAAGCAAGGACATGCGCAGTCCATGACTGAGTTCAATTTTAACTGAACCAGTGGAGAATATTCCTATTCAGAGCTACATTCTGAAACTTGATGCTGACCTCAAAAGTACAGATATAACAAAGGACAAGGCTCAGCGATGGTACGAGTTCCTGGTTATGCATGTTTACTGTAAGAACATAGGGAACAACGACCGTGAAAGTTTGTACACCGAGTTGCGACGTAAGTACGCAACTGAGGCTCGAGACAAGGGACATGAAACAAAGTTTTATTTATCCCGACTTACGTGGGAACAGTTTTATGTTACTGTATCCACCCTTTACCCCGCACACCGAGTAACCTCGAAGGGAAAGACGGTAAATAAGAAACCGCGCGAGCTCCCTGATCAAGGATACCTCTCACGCCAGACGTCAGATGATAAGCCTCACCTGACTCGTCCTAACCAGACACGTGCTCGTGACTCTACTCAGTCGACGCGACCCAATAAATGGGTACACGCGGAACCGAAGGACAAGGAACCTCCATATAAGGATATTAAGAAATGTGCCGACGCACAGTGTGGGTATGACATGTACCAATTGACCCCTAACGGTTATTGGAACAGAAAACATGCACCCAACTGTACACACTTCCTTACGAAGTGTGACAAGTGTGAGAATACCAATGGCTATCACTGGCAAGTCTTGCGACAAGAAGCCCGACATTAAGCTGGAGTGAAAGTACTACCAGATACAATCGCAACAAAGAAAGTACAACAACTCTTTAGATGAACGTGTAATAATCCCTGTATATTTCAACGGAAATAAAGTCCTTGCATTGATTGATCCTGGTTCAGAAATTTCATATATATCCGACCACTTTACATTAATGAAAGACATTGAAAGGCGAACTCAAACCACCCACCTTCTTTTAGCAGATGATAAAACTTCTCAGTGTGATACCATGGCCACAGGTGTTTTAGGGGTTTTTAGTTATATATAGGCAATGTCTCAGCCTCACAATCCCTCAGAGTATTGCTCTTTTCACGAGGCATACCTAACGTTACTAAAAGACTCATTTCGTTTATTTACTCTTAAATTTTGATAACCTAAGCGTTTATTTACTGTAATGCGTTAATATCGCCTTAAGAGACCGAAACTTACAACAGGAGGACACAGTGGGTGTTGTGACTCATCCGAGTGGTAAGAAGGTTAGATGTGGGCTCCCTGCAGAGGAAGCAGGGTAGAGACCACACCTATCTCTGCGGTAGGTGCGTCTTCCATATAGTCCTGGCAGGATCCCAGCGAGGTGTTGTACCAGTCAGTACGGAAAGCGGAAGCCCAGCTGGGAGACGATGACAAGTTTCAGGCTTGGGGGTCGTTAGGAACTATGTACACGCGCAGTCAGAGTGCGAAGTCCCCGAAGCTAACTCGGAGACAGAGGAATTCGGCTAAGAGTGTTGACACGTTGCCTGCTCAGGACGGCATGGATCTGGATGAACCTGAGGTTCAAGGACCTCCTAGTGTCGAGGTCGACACTAAGATGGAGAAGGATCTAGTGGATAAGCCCTTAGAAGACTTGAAACGAGATCGGCTTCAGTCGATGAAGCGTTCGGTCTTCGGGGTTGAGGTGGGGGGTACAATCGTGGATCGGATTATACGTTACACTCACGAGCTGTTTGCGCATGCGAGTGCCAAGCGGCTGGATCAGCTAGTGCGCATATTGTGGGATTGGAGTAGCGTGATGGAGATGTGTACTCATGTGCGGCAAAGTTGTGATGCCTGTCAGGCGTTGTCGGATGACCTGGGCAAGGAGAAGGGCTTGCAACAGCAGCCACCACGGCAGGAAGAAGCCATGCGAGAGATCAGCATGGATTTCATGGACTTTGACCTGGTCAACGGGCAGTCTAAGGTGCTACTGGCGGTGGACATGCAGACTCGCATGATGATCGCGAGGGTGTTTGGTCCTAACGTGGACGGCCCGTCGGTGGTCCATTTCATGGAAGAGCAAGTCTGAGCGTGGGGTTCATCGGCGCGGCTTGTGATGGATGTGGACAAGAAGTTCCAGAATGGGGATGTGACGACGTTCTGTGAGCGTCGCAATATTGAATCGCACTGGATCACGGTGAATCGACATCAGAGCAATGGGCGACCAGAGACCCTCATCAGGACGATGAAGAACTGGTTGCGCAGGGAGATAGAGGCTGCGGATAACTCTCCGCATTCGTGGTTGCACCTGGTTTATGAGATGGTGCGGATTTACAACGCTACGCGCAATTCTGTCACCGGTTTCTCGCCCTATTTCCACATGACTGGCAGAGATTTCAACGATCAGAAGCGACTAGAGTTGCAGGACAAGGTGTTATCCCTGCTCGAGTCGGAGAATGGGACGGAGGCGATGGTCCTCGATGCTGTTGCAGCAGTGCGGGACAGTCGTGCTCAGCTGGAGCAGCAGAGTCGCGCCAACATCAGGCGTGGAGTCGTGCATTTGTTGCCGGTCGGTTCGCAGGTGTGCTATCGGTTGCTGGGCGAGTTGCATGACCTGTCAGCGCGGTGGGGTGACCCAGCGAAGGTGGTGTCGGTACAAGCTTCACTTACTCATGTGGTGGAGGTGGCAAACGGCACTCATCGCAAGTTCTTCGGGCGGAATTAGAATCCCACATTGGAAAACTCACGAAGGAGTCGTACGCGAGAACGCCCATGCGTTATCGTCCAAATGGTCCCTTTGAGGTTTGGCGCATGTACCATTCGCCACTTTGTGATACCAAGAACGGGTACAAGCAGGCAATAAGATACTGTTTGCGGAGGACTAAGAATGCCCGTACGTGGTCCACTGCTATGAGTTCGGTCTGGGGCCGGTGGCAGATGTGGTGCAATCTTGCTGGTGTAAACCCAGTTCTGTCCCTGTAGTCGCTCTTCAGCAATGATGCCGACATTAATATTGTATTGTTGAACCCATATTTTACAATACAGTTGAGAAATTTCAACTGTAAATCATTCAACCTCTCGCGATCTACTTTACTACACAACGTTGTTCTGCGCTCAATCTCAGCCAGAACATAACTAGCTTTATAGCTCTTGCGTACAAATACGTCAGCAATGCCGGTTTTCCATTTCGTGTCCATTATGATTTTATCACATCCCAATACTATATAATCGGAATCATAGGCTAGGATATAATCAATATGTTTTTGGATTTGTAAAGTTAAAAGCTGCTGTTTCGCCTCCATAGGACTTACCATATAGTCAATGTCTCTATCCTGACATAGCAATATAATCATCTCTGCCACCACCAAATTAAAGTATCCCATCCCTCGTCGTATCCGGGGGTCTTCTTCTTATTCTTTATGTGCTTTCTAATCGTCTCCATCGCCCGCTCACGATCAGAAGCACGTTTATCATTAAACCCTAAGCCATAAGACTGCAACCGTTGAAACGACGCCCATATATCTAATAGTAGCGGTTGGTACAGTTGTTTTCAAGCACTATCTCAATAGCATGTGCCCACATGAAACTATAAGCGATGAAGCTAGCGTCAATACCTAAGACCCCTCCGACAATGTGACTAAAAGGGGTCTTTACTAACATTGGTCGGCATAGACCAAATAAACCAGTATCACCAATGTTACTAAACTAGATTTCCTCGCTCTCGTCTGATTCTATTTCGTAATTATTTGTGCTCGTGTGCTCCACGATACTACATGATCTTGATAATGACTCGCGCTTGCTTCCGCTCAAATTATCCTCACGTATACTTCCTGTATTGGTGTCTGAAAAATCCAACCTCTGTTTGACTGATCTACTATTGCAATCGATTTGTATATATTTTTTTCTACTTATATCTGACACTCCTTGATCGTCGTAAAATCCTGTTTGTAGACGGCGCTTGTGATTTCAAGTAAAACCAAAACATGCCGGTTCACGATGAATCGTGGCAAAGCAACAGCCCAGTTTTCGGCCCTCAAACCGATTAGTCTCTCCGGGTCTCAGTGTCACCGCTTTATTCGTACACCCTAATCAACACCACGGCCAACACGGTGCTTGCCACTTCTCTTCACATAGCATGCACAATCTTGTTTCAGCTTTGGGTACGATAGTCGTTTAGCACTTGGTGCAACTAGAGCCGTCTGTGCACCACTTGGATAGTGTTCTAGACATCTAAGCAAATATTATGAGCGCTGTGGTGTGTGTATATGTGAAATATAATGCCTACATGTGTGTGATCTAAGGATAAGTATTACACCAAAAATTGTAAGTTAATTTACAGTAAGATCTTGGTACAATCACTTTGGGTTGTTTGGGTTTTTACTATCTATACCGGTTCGGTACTTACATGTGTATTTTAAAATTTAGTGCCATATGTATGTATTTACTACATATTTTTCTTTCTCAGTGACCTATTATGGAAAGTGGATACGGTGTTAAAAACAAACAAATAAATAAATATTTACAAGATTTTTTGTAAATGTAATTTACTTTGTAAATGTAATTTACTTTGTAAATATGTCCTCAACTCCGAGTCTCAGTCCTCAGTCCTTACTCCACACCCTTTGTTTTATTGTTTTGATATTTTTTTAACACCCTATCCACCGACTAAGGGGATAAATAGACCAAAATATAAAGAAACAGATCCAAAACACTAAATACGGCAATGACCCTATTCCCAATTTTTCTTTTCGTATACTTTCATTAGGCATTTCCAAAACGCTACGAAAAACCCACAAGTTGATAGCACCTCTAGATCAGAAGATAACTCTGCGTGAAGCACACCATGTCGAAAAGTACCAAAAGGCGATAATATGATCCCCAGCAGGGTTTACCAGGTATATCCTTCACATTTTTGACTTTGTATATGTATATGGAGTGTTTACTCCATATATCATCGTTATTACACGAGGTATTGTATGCATGCAGGAATGCATGAATGCATGTATACATGTGTTTATTCAGAAATTGTGATATTCTCACGCTATAGTGTATTGCTCACATAATTGCTTGTTTATCCTGACTCTTCAACTTAGTCTTCTGATAGCTCACTTTCTTCTTGACCTGATCGAACGATGGGAAATCGACCGGGAACAAACCATCTCTTTCATACCTTTGTTGCAGACTATCATACACCATGTCATATTTCACCTCTCTGTTTGCTGTAACAGTATCGACAATAAATGGAATATATGCTGCTGGGAATTTCACGATACGTGCTCTTTGTGTAGGTACTGCTGTACTCTGTATAGTTGGACCTTCACCACAAGCTACAGCAGTCGAAACTCTTCTAACCTCTCCAGCTTGACGCTTTTCTTCTGCTTTTCGCCTTGTCTCAGCTGCTTTCTTTTCTTGCATCAATGTTGAGATCAATACACGTATTTCATTTTCTCCAGTCAATGAACAGCAACCTGGATGCCGAAGCTGGTCTAACATGACTCCCGGTTGCATTTTGCGAGCTGAGTCAGCTTCTCCGCGTTCGAAGTATGCACGTATATCAGGATCAAATTTAGCAATGAATGTTGTCCCGTATTGTTTGCCGTGTGGTCGACGAGGTGCCCATCCTCTTGGCAGTCTCATAGTTTGTACAACATCCTCAGAAAGGTTAAATTCAAGGAATACCGACGAACCATCACGTATTATGACTTCGTGTGTGTTAATGAGGTAACTAGCGCGACGGACACTTGTCGCAACTAAATATATTCTACGTACACATATATCGGCAGCTACCTTCGCATTGCGTTTCTTACGATTCTTTGAACGTGGGCCAACAATACTGGCAATAGTAGATGCCTTCACTACACATGTGCCAGTGATGCACTTCTCATCATCTTGTATTGAACCGTATCGATTATAACCTTCTGGTGCAAAAGCCTCACTTTCTTCATCTGCCGCTTCGTAATCATTCAACTCTCTTTGAACATCGTCTTCTATTTGATCGATCGGCACGTCATCACGGCTTAGTGTATCTCGATCATCTCTGTTAGTAGTATCGATATCAAAATCTGCTTCATCTTCTGGAGCATCGTCATCTTGTACATCATCATCTACATGCTCGGAGTCGTGCTTATCGGATCCGTCCAGTTGTATCTCCTCGCTAGTCTTAGTATCACTAACGTTCATATCGTTGATGGTGGTGTTGCGCGAATTGTTATCTTGCAAAACAGCTTGCGCTACTGTTACTTTGTTCGTTGCAAAATTCACCGTGAATTCCATCCCACTACCTATGTTGGAATATGTAAACGCTTTAAACGTTATCACGGCCCCACTATCAAGTACTTTCGCCAGATCATATCGGTCGTTACCGGATAGCGAACACTCTACATTTGTATAAATGATATCGTTTACACGTCCAAAATACTTCATACACTGTGTAACCAACCTCTTGACTTTCTCCTGGTAAATTTCTTCTAGGTCCCTGTCAATCCTGGCGAGTTGCACAATCGAATTCTGGATACCATTGTTCCAGGCAAGTGCAGTGCTGAGGCCTTTCGGTGTAGCTATTTTCTTTATCAGATTTCGTTGTGACGCCCTTATGAAGTTCATGTAATGGGATGTTCCCCTTGCGAAGTGAGCATCGATCAGCTACAAAAGTATTCATAATGGAACGACAATATGCACGCATTTACTATATTTGTTAAAGAACACATATCAGTATGGACCGTGCAAAGTATTAAATCAAATCTATATATACAGCATTGCTAAGAATAGTCGCTATATCTTTACGTACCCCTTTACCGTCCTGTGTTTTGGTATGAATGTACCGCACGACCTGTATATTTAGAACTAAATTCAACAGCGGCAACAAAAGAAGAAGCTCCTTAGATTGGTAGCATCCCGCATTATCCGAGGAAAGTATCGTAGTCTCTATAGCCGGGACTTCCTTCTTCAACTGCCGCAAGTAAGTTTCTACCAAGCCCGCTATAGCATACCCGTCTTGTTTACCCCCTTTCTCCAGTATCTGATCGCCATAAACAATATGACGCACTGCGCCCGATATGTCGATGGGTTCTCCTGTGTGGTTCATTTAAGATAGAAATATTTCAATAAATAAAGTGTATGAGTGATTATATACGTCATTGTCTAATGAGCGTATCAGATACGAGTAAACACATACCTGTATTTATGTCGATCTCAACCCATTCTGTGTATCCAAAATATTGTGTCATTCATCCATGCCAGTTAAATCCCCTTTTTCCGAAGTGGTCGATTGTGGTGAATGATTCCGAGCTTCCTTTATTTCGAACACACCGTTCTTCCATCCCCTTCAGTATATCATTTATCGCATTTTGTTGATTTTTGACACGTACACGGTGGCCCATGTATATGCGCAGTTTCTCGAAGCATCTTCTCGCACTGAAAAAGGTTTTGTTGTAGCAAACTGTACAATGCTCTGAAGTTGAGAATACATGTATTCGATGAAATCACATCCATTACACTTTTGTTGACCACAGCCACTTTTATCATTAGTAGGCTGTTCTAATGCAAATTTAATCCCATGGGTGCTGCAGTCGTCCTCCAATTCCACATGCTTATCGTACTGTTGTTTCAAGAATGTTTTCATCAACTCGAGATGTGTAGTGAGGTGTTTCTTCTTTGAAATATCGATACAGAAGTCGTTGATAAATACTTGTAGTTGCACAATAACGTCGTTGACTAAAGTACCAGTTACGTAGTCGACGGCAGTTAATAGTTTCTCGTCTTTACTTGTCAAAGCTGCAAGGACACGGTAGAAACTACCGCGGGATAGCTGTTTCTCTATCAGATGTGTAGCAGTGTATCGGTCATATATTACATTCGATGGCAGTTTACGAGTAAGTGAAGGAAGAATGCAAGTTTCATCTTCCGACAATTTAACTCTTTTCTTACCCCACGAGAGAGTTCCAACAATCTCCTCAGCTAGAACGAAGGAGATCGCATTGTTCAGCGCTACTTCGTCAAATCTCGAACGACTAAACACAGGTTTCACGATTGCTTCGCCTCGAGAGAGAGTTTTCATATCAGCATATGACTGTTGCACTCTCGCCCCAGCTAAAGTAAATAAACCCGCCGCCTTCATATCCTTTCGCGCTTTGACCGACATTCCCTCAACCATCATTGCTCGCGCAATACGCTTTTGTATACTGCCTTTAGGAGCAGCATTATACACTTATATACAGTATTGGCTAGATTTGCGATAGATTTCTCATCAACAGACTGTGCATCGTTGGTTCGTTTCGCCGTGTTTACAGGCCCGCTAATGGCGCTAGCTGCTTCCTTCAGACGTGCATTAGGATTTGCAGGATATATTATTTCGCATAATGCAACAGCTCCACTCACAATGCTTTTCGTCATACAATTCCAACTAACAGGGTTGCTTTCCTTTATATCGGTGTTTCTTTCCCGTACTGTTGCTGATGGTAGATTACGCTTCGTGCTATTTGTCCGGCCAAACACCTTCAAAATATAGAGTACAGAAACCAATCGGGAGATTCTCCCGATTTGAAGTGGCTCATTGTTCGGTTCCTGAACACTTGATTCTTGACTCTGCTCACTAACAGTAATTTTCGCTCGTTTCGCCGCCGATCTGTTTGAAGTACGTACAGTGGGTTGTTGTGCACGCACTACCTTCTCACCACTTACCGGTCGGCCCCTCTTTCGATTTAGGCTAGCTAGTGTCTGAACCCCATTGCATACACATACGCAACGCGAGCATTGCAGGCAGTCATCGCACTTACTTACTTTACAACTACAGATGATCATACTGAATCACTGGTTTACAATCAATGGCACATCGAATGGCGGTCCATTGCATTGCATTGAATTGAAAGTCGCACCTATCAAACTGTATTAGTGCCTCGCGGGTCTCTACAATGTATCTAAATTGTCGTCTGAGCTTAATTAAGCGTATAAAGACATTCTATCACCCTACAAGACGCTTATAAGCATAGGAAATCCACTTTTTAGCATGCCTATTTGCGTCACAATTGCATGCATTAAAACCACCGTACAAGGTGAACCAAACACGCTATCGATCTGGCGCCTTTTCTACCGTTTTCAGAGATGTTTTCTGGAACGTTTGAAGTACGTACAGTAGGGTTGTTGTGCACGCACTACCTTCTCACCACTTACCGGTCGGCCCCTCTTTCGATTTAGGCTAGCTAGTGTCTGAACCCCATTGCATACACATACGCAACGCGAGCATTGCAGGCTCTCTCACGGAGTACCAGGAATCAACCTCGCTAGACATATGGAATCCCTGGTTGCAGCATTGTCACTGGGTATCGCCTCTTTCCGCGCTTATGGCTTCCATGGGTTCAGCTGGCGACACCCCCGCAACCGACTGGCGATGTTCAAAACATTCATCTTACCCACGGCTACATATGGGCTGAACATTATTGCCTGGGCTTCGCCAATATGGAAGGATGCGTTGGAACCCCTATTCGAGCGCTTTAACTCAGCACTCATCCAAGCAGCAGCCATCATCACGGGCACTAAATACCCTCGGTTTCCCAAACATCAAACAAACTTACTTCACTTTTGCGGTCTGCTCCCCGCGTGACCATTCGCGGACTACCTCGGAGGTTGCCTGGGAATACAACTCGACTCAATGGCAAGCACAAATCCACTTACCCCTTTGACGCAACCCGCCTGGGCCCACGATAAACCATCACTGCGCTTCCCGTACAGTATCTATGCTCACCTGAAAACTGTACACAAAACCACGGGCGGGCGTACACCCGACCATGTAGCCCTCCGCCAACGCTGTGACGACATCAGGAAGAACTCAACAAAACGTTGGTCCAACAAGGAGATCGCGGCAATGGCCCGGCGCCAATACAACTACCAACTGGTTATGGGTAAACCGCCAACCTCAAACCGAGACACAGCCAGACACGACAGCTTCAATCGCTGCTTCGAGTCTACACCAATCCGGCTCTGTGCTATGATTGTAACGAATACGTACATGTTCACATTACTCGACTACCGCACCGACGGCTGTCTCTGCCCTGTCTGCCCCGGTAGCCACAAGTTCACTACCAGCCACTTTACCTGCATCCAACAACTGATTCGAAGCATCCTGGTAGGCCCGAAACTGCCGCCCATTGGCCCTGACCTCCTTCAGCAATTACAGGAGTGCCACGACTTCCACGGTATCTGGACCCTCCACGAACACCTTGGATCTTTTCTCCAGCATGTTGAAGAACCACCGTACCCTCACCC